TGGATCTGTAGGCATGTTGGGGCTGGTGATCACTGAACCTGTCAGTCATGCCCGTGGTTTGAATATCTGCTACGTCCACTAGCAGCAAACTGATTGGTTTTTTCCTGAAGCCTGACAAGATAGAGCACCTCAAACTGGAGTTAGAATAAATTGGCTAGTAAGTGGTGGGTTAAGGTTGTGCGGAGCCATAATCTGGTAGGAGACATCTGTGTCTGTAGCACTCCTGGTAGAGCTGCTCTTGCGCTTCCCTGCTGAGTGTCCTTTCTGTACAAGTCGCTTCCTAAGCCTGTGTGTGCATGTGCAGACACTGGTATCTGGTGTCCTCCCATACCCTCAACAGTTTCTTTGTGAATGAAAAGGCAAATCACTGTTCATCAAAGCAAAAACATTTAAGGTTCATGTGTAAATGTGTTAAGGTCTTATTCTTAGTAGGTAGCTTCCTTTTTTTTTTCCCCACTACCTGTTTTCTCCTGAATGAGTAAACCTTAAGCAGGAGATTTTCTGTTTCTTTGTCACTCTCCTTGTTCCCATCTGTGACCATTTTGGTGCAAGTAAATGTTGTTTTCCCACTCTTCTGACTAGTTCTTTTTTCCCCCCTCTTGGAGTTAGTTGATAGGGGAGAAAGCATAACAAACTGATGGCTTTAAACACATCAAGTAAAATGAATCTAGTGTTTAACTGAGTTGAACTAAAACGTGACTACTTGAAAGAAGTTTGCAAAAGATTGAAAGACCTGTTGATCTAAGCAGAAGGGGCTCAGGGAGCTGTCATGCCATAAGCCAACCTCTGGGATCACCTTCAAGTTGACATCCATCAGCATTCATAGAGCTGACTAAACCCCACTCCTTTTAAAGACTTACGGGCTGTAATCCCTCAGCTAGACCAGATGGCAAAACAGATACTAGAGGTAGATTTCCAAAGCACAGTTTTGGGGATTTTGCTGCATCAAAGTTTTGCAGGTAAATTGAATTCTCAGTGAAAAGCCATTGCAGCTTGATATGAACCTTGCAGTTACTTTCAGGAGGCTTCTGTCCTTTCCAGCAAAAATTCTCCTTTTGAGAGGTGAACAGTGGTTTGCTTTCTTCTTTAAGCCCCTTGTTGACACACCTTCTGGAGAAGGGGCTTGCTGAGAAATCAGACAGGTGTTGCCTGATGGTAGCTGGCATGTGTGCATTGTGATACTGAATTACCAGCCAGAGTGCCAACAGTGGATAATACAGTATGTCTGCACAGGCAGGTGGGGAGGGCAAAGCTGCAGGCACTGGAATGTTTCATTCTTTCCTTTTAAGACATACTATTAAGCAAAAAAGCTAAGTTCACTGCTGTTCTTCACAATCTCTTGAAGTCTGCTTATTTGGGCATGACATACAGTACTTGAACACCCAAGAGAAGTCTGAGCCAAAGCTCTTTCCTCTCCCTCTTGAATGGTTACACGTTGCCAATATCCACTCTATTGTTTTAAAGAGCCTTCTGGTCTTTATATCTGGTAGAAGTGGTGTTTGCACTTCTCAGGCTGTTGGCACAAGTTTTGTTCCTGCTGCCCTATAATGACTATTGTCATCTTGCTGAATTATAGGGTTGTTGATTGAGTCAAGCTCATTTTTGGTATTTTTGTTTTCCTATCCAAGCAAGTAACAGAAGTGCATTGATTTACAGTCATGTTCCAGTTTTCTGGGAATTACTTATCTTGTGTTCTTGCCCCTTAGACAATGAGCATCTCTCAATTCCCATAGCAAAATGGTGGGCAGGGGGATTGTCATCTCCTGCAGGACAGGCGACCAATGTGGAGAGGCACCTGTGCCAAGAGAGGCAACGCTTGCTTGCAGGCACTCTCTGAATGCACAGACAGTTCCTGCCTCGGCTTTGGGTTTGGTTTTGGTTTTTTTTTTTTTCTGCAGCTTATTTGCTTTGAAACCTATATACAATATCCTGTCTTGCGCCGTGGATATAGCGATTATCACCGATCCAGTACAAGTCACTATGACCTAGTTGTTGGCATCTATTTGTGCCAATAAATGGCTGGGTGTCGGGTTACCTGTGGTTGCAGCAAAGTTGGCAGGGTGGGAAACTCAAGACCCTTGCTGTCTGACAGCAGGTACACCATGAACGGATTTACACGGGTGTTAAATGACCGGCTGCTCAGTGTTTACACGCTTGCAGGCGGCTGTGCTTGTGGTAGATGTGAAATCATGGCTGTATGCCATGTCCCTGAGGCCAGTGTCGTGCCCGTGAGGCTTGAACTCCTCTTGCAATCAGGTGACAAAAAGGCAGCAAAGCCATCCTTCTGTCTTGTCTGTCTCTGTGCTGGGTACTGCTGCTTGCCTCCCTGTGCCCTGACCATGTCCCAAAGCAGAAGTGAGCTCCTGGTCACCCTCCTTTTCTGACATGCCATGTTCAAGGTGTGTTGACCAGAGACTGAAGCTGTTGAGTCTGCCCTGTGTTTTGGAGACATATACATGGATATTTCTTTGTTGGACAGGCTTGTTCATCACAAGCCATTAGCTGCTTGCTTTCTGTGAATTTAAGCTACAGATCTGATGCCTTCCAAGGTGGTTGTAGCAAAAGGAGTTTGACAGGGTGACAAAGGGTGAACAAGGAGCAGGGAGCTTCCTTTGCTGGCAGAGGGACCACACTGTTTGATCTGGACTCTCAGTATTCATGCTGCTGTTGGGCTCCTGTCCTTCTGAAAGTAATTTTGGGGTTGGTTTTTTTGGTGTTTTGTTGTGTTGTTGTTTTTTTTTTTTTTGACACTTCCCTTCCCCCAACTTGTAACCCCATCTTTTGTCTTTGAAGATGTTATACATAAAACTACAGTCAACACCAACACCCCTGATATGTGACGAAGGGGTGTGTATCTCCTTCCATTTGTTCAATTCTCCGAATGCCTGCAGACACCGGACACTTTGGTTCCTGGCATGTGCTGTGCCTTCCCTGTGCCACTGCACTTCCATATTTATGCTTTCCTTTCAGCCCATGGCCTTTGGGTGCCCAATTTCTTTACACTTCAATTATATTAAGGCATCCAAGTGATTAGGTGGCTTTTTGAGATTTTTTTAAGGCTTTCTTTCCTTGAAACCTTCACAATGCTATTAGCAAGCTGATGTGTTGAGGGAAACAATCCTTTCTAAATTTTCTTCTTTTAAACCTAAGTGATTCTTTTCCTACTTCTTGAGATGAAAAGACAACATAGTGAGTTCACTCTTACCATCAGTAAGGAATTACTTTTTAATTAAAAAAAACATAAGGAATTTCAGGTAAAAAGATGTACGATATAAATCACCATCCAGATCTGTTTCGCAACTTTTATTTTTGTAATTGTTTGGCATGTTCCCCATTTCCGCAGGCTGGGTAAATCCTTTGTGGGTTTAATCTGTAGCCTGGAGGCACATAAAATACATTGCACAATTTTGCCTTTGCATTTTTAAATAATTTTTTCCTTAGCTTAAATACCTGTAGCATCCTCTCTGCCATATGAACGGGTGGTGTTGAGTGAGGAAGGAAGGGATTGGCTTGGCTTATTTTTAATCTCTCTCTCCTCCCTGGTGTCTCTCCCAACTTTGGTTTTTCCTGTGTTAGCAACATGTATGTTTTGAAATGCAAGTAATCCCTGAATATTGCTAGCTAATCCTTCTGCTGCCACATCACCCACCCATATATGCGCTGGCTCTTCTCATCCCAGCAGGGAGGATGGCCACATCTTGCTCTAGACCAGTATGAACCTGCCAGTGCTGTGCTTGAACACTTGGGTCTGGGGCTGTATCAGCCATGGCTGCTAGAGATGTTTTTTAAGAAAACAGCCACCTTGGGGCTTTCACTTTTTTTTTTCTGTGCAAGAGCTGAAGAGATGGAAGTGGGGAAATACCAGCAATTCCTGTGGGTTACGTGGTTAGAATTGCTGGAAGAGTTCTGTACTCGCAAATGCGTGAGCACCTGGAGAAAACTGAGCGCCTCTTGAAACAGGGCACTGATGAAAAATACTGTGTTCTGGAACAGCAGAGGAGACTGGAGACTCTCCTTTGTGGGGGACATCCAGAAAAATTGGTTTGAATTATGGAACTATATAAGGGTTGCCTTGGAAATCATTCCTGCTAAGCACACGCCCTTATTTCAGTGAGGGTGTTTGAACAGAAACCAATGACTTTGGCCCATGCCTTGATGTTTTGCTGAGTAAAGTCTTCCAGATATGAGCACACTTTGGGGAAAAAGCTGCACCAGTTATTGTTTAACGTCTTAAAAGAGGTATACTTCAAGTTAGCACAGTGAATAAGAGCATCTTGTTCTGCTCCAGGTGTTCATTGCACAGTCACAACTTCCCTTTTGGAGTCAACTGCTGGGTTGTGCTCTGGGTCTTGCCATGGACCTGGTCTTTGGAGTGTTCACCTTTTTTGATTATTAAAAAAAAAAATATTTACCTTTTGTGGACATAATATTTTGAGTTTAGAAGTGTGGAGATTTGCTACAGAAGTAGTAAGCAGAGGTGCAAGATGTTTTTAAGAGGTGACTAAAATGTCAGATTTGGTACAACTCCCAGGTTGGTCAGGGTCTTGCTTTCAAGTGCTGTTCAACTTGAAGGCTGATGTTTTTATTTCAACTCTCTACAAAAGCAGGAAGGCTTCTTACAAAACAAGATGGAACACCTTGTGCGTGGCTTCCAGGATTACAGTGTGCTGTGAAAATAGTAGTCATTTTGTTAGGAAGGTAATGTGTGTCTCTTGTAAGAGTGAACGTGTGCCCAAGAGTAATAAAGACTATTTGTTCATGTAAAAGTGATGCTCTTCAGGAAAACTAAAATGTAGATTTATATTCTGCTATTCTAAGCCAGGCAAAGGTGTAGAGCTTTTGCCACTTGCCTGGAAATGTGGCTTTTGCGTGACCAAATGCAATGCAGATGCAGCAGCTGATGCATTCAGTGATATATGCAAACCCATCTCAGTCCTTCTGTCATGCATTCATTCCTAGCTGGACATTCTGACTCTCTCTTGCTCTGTTTCCTCATCCAGTATTCCACTGAACTGAAAAAGCTGTACTGCCAGATTGCCAAGACATGTCCCATTCAGATCAAAGTGATGACCCCACCACCTCAGGGAGCTGTTATCAGGGCTATGCCAGTCTACAAGAAAGCTGAACATGTCACTGAAGTGGTCAAACGCTGCCCGAACCATGAGCTGAGCCGGGAGTTCAACGAAGGTAAGGAAGGCAGTGCATTGTTGGCAGTCCCTCTCCAAAGCTGCTCATCTGATGACTGACCAGTGTGGGGATTTGGTGGCAGCTTTACAGCAAACCTGCTGGAAGCAGGCTGCCCTGCAACATCATCTTGTGCAGCTTTTTATTTCCCATGCTTAGCAGGAAGCTTCATACTATACTTTAGCTGTCCCTGTGCAAGCACGTCCTTGGGAAGAAAGTACTGAAATAAATCTCGCGCCTGCCCAGGTTGGATTGATGTCTGTCCTCATGGCAGGCAATGCCTTTCTGGCAGCCTTTCCCTGCTCTGTTTTTGCTCCCGCGATGAGAAGCAGCTGTTTCTGTGTTCGGGAATGAGCTTCCACGTTGCTGGGACAAGGATCTAGTAACAGGATGCAATATCATCTCCAGCCCTTAATCCACGCCTCAAAGACAGAGGTGCTGTTTATCTCTGGCAGAATAACACGAAGTGCCAGCATCAACTGTAGGCAACCTTCCTGTACATTTAACGCTATTGGTTCAGTGTTAATGTTTTAATCTTTTACTTGATGTTGCTTGTGTTAGTGAAGGATCAGCAGTTTTAAAGATGTCCTGGGGTTTTCTGCAAACTCATAGGCTGGGCTCTGTTTTGCCTTGATCATTGAAGTTCACATAACTTCAGATGAGCATCTGTTTTATTCTATGTGCATTATTTGTCTCCTACTGTAAAAAAAAGCCTTGTTGGTGTCAGCAGGATGTCTTAGAAGCCCAGATCCCTTTGCTGATTGCAAAACAGCCATCTAGACAAGCACAAAAATAAGCAAGGACTTAAGAGTACAAAATCAGAGCGAAGTGGACAGTTCTTCAAACAGTTTTTCATTTTTAAAAAGTGCTTTTCTAACAGAACTGGATTTTTTTGAGGGTTGATACCTGGGTCAGTAATAGAATTTTTATGAAGAAAAAATAAAATTATAAATTTTTATTCTGAAATAATTACTTCTCTAGAAATACAATGTGTTTAGGTTAAGAAATGAGCAAAACAATTGAAACTAACACAACAAATTCTTGAGATGAACCTGTGATAGGCTTCTCTCCTCAGAATTTAGTCATACATTGTAGAAACACTGAAGAAAATTTGCAGGAAGCAGGCTTTTTTAATTATTGGAAAGGGGCCTATAAACAAAGATTACGTTCCCTTCTGCCGCTGCTGTAAGCAAGCGGGTTTTTTCAAGTTGACCATTAATTAAATGCATATTTCTCTTGATACTTGAAATCTTTTTGAAATCTTGATACTTGAATCTTTTTTTAGCTCCTTAGGATCAAGACTGATAGGAGACAACAGAATAGGGCTAGCAATTTATAGAAAAAGGTAGGAATTTAGACTTGCAGGAATTTGCCTTGTTTGCGTGTTTGGGGAAGGAAAAGAAAGGCTTTCACCAGGTGTGAAAATCCACATGGAGTTATCTTCTGGAAGAGTTGGTGTGAGCTGCCATTCAGTTGACATTTGGGCTTGCTTAGTCTGGCATCATGAAAGTTCATGTTCGAATTTACCCACAGGTATCCAGTGTGAGCCTGGGATAAGACTGTTGCTTTTGTTGTCTGGCAGCAGGGACCTTGAGAAGGAATGCTTCAAGGATTGGGAGGCATGTGTTCTCTGACAGATGGATGGTTTCTTTTGGTGGAAGATCTTGCTGCCCTGTGTGTGATCTTGCTTCACTCAATGGTGTCTCTTGTTTTTTTTGCCTCCTTGCCTTTGCAGGGCAGATTGCGCCTCCCAGCCACCTGATCAGGGTGGAAGGGAACAGCCACGCCCAGTATGTAGAAGACCCCATCACTGGGAGGCAGAGTGTGCTGGTCCCCTATGAGCCGCCCCAGGTATGTTGTGAGCTCAGGGTGGTGGCATCCCAGTATACAAAGGGGTGGGAGTTGAAGGGGTTAGGATCTTGTGCTTTCCTCATCCCAACGAATCTCTTCCTTCTCTTTGTCAAAAATGAGCTTTCAAACACCCTCTCTATCCTTCCAGAGTAGGAGTTCTTAACTTATTTTAAGAAATCCTTGCAGTGTGGTCTATTTCATGCTAGTCTGCAACACAGCTGTGGAAGTACCAGAGGAGAACCTGGAAAAAGCAGAGTTTTCTATACACCATTTTTTCTGCTCATCTCCTTTGTCTCATCCAGGTTGGTACAGAGTTCACAACAGTCTTGTACAACTTCATGTGTAACAGTAGCTGCGTGGGAGGGATGAACCGGCGCCCAATCCTCATCATTGTGACACTGGAAACCAGAGAGTAAGTAGTGCATCACCTTTGCTTTGCAGGTGGCCTTCTGGCTCTTCTTCTGTTTGGGGCAGCATTTCATATACTTAGGGACAGCTTGATGCAAAGGGCTGTAGGATAGTTTTCAACTCTCTGCCCAGCACCTGGGGTATCCTGACTGGGAAATGGAAGGTTTGGGTCTGTCTGTGCATAGTCTGGTGTGAAGTTAAGGGATGCTGCTGGCCTGCATCTAAGCTGCCAGCTGACATTTCCTCTCACCTCTCTTCCCAGTGGGCAAGTCTTGGGCCGCCGATGTTTCGAAGCCCGCATTTGCGCTTGCCCAGGCAGAGACCGCAAAGCAGATGAGGACAGCATCCGCAAGCAGCAAGTCTCTGACAGCACAAAGAATGGTGATGGTACGAAGCGCCGTAAGTAGCTGGCAGAGCTGGGCAGATTGCAAATCGTGGGTGCAGGTGTGACCTTGGCTCTTGTGCTGTGGGGATGTGCGGTGCTGTGCATGGGCTTGGAGGCAGGAGGGCATTAGACATCTGTTCTCCCAGGGTCAATCAACCTGAAAAATGAGCTGGTGTTCACAAGATGGGTTTATGGTCTCCCTTGCAGCACTCCCTGTGTTAGATGAGACTTGCCAGCAGTGGAGGGATGGGGTGTTTATTTGCCACCCTAAAGTTTCATGGCTGGGATTCTGTAACCACTTTTTGAACTTTTACTGCTTGTTTGGGACTGCACTGTCATTCTCTGCTCCTTCTAGCCAGTGTCTCATGCTGTGGCATGTGTCTTCCAGCCACAGGGATCTAGATTAAGCTTGCATATAAACCTTCCTGTGCATTGGAGGTGCTCTGGCAAGTGACCTCTCTCTGTGCTCTAAAGAGTGCAATGTACTCATCAGACAGCACAATGTGGAACACTATCTTTGGTTTCCCGCATATGCTTAGCGAGGTACTAGGCTGAATGAGGCTAGATTGGAGAGGGGGCTTTGCTTTTGCAGTGAATTCTGCATGCTCCCTGCCTGTTGTCTTGTCTTCATGGATCACTGATCCACCAAACAGCTCCTGAGCACTCTTATGCCAAAGCTTGAAGTCTTTCCTGCAAAGAGCCAGGGCTTGTTCTATGTATGGCTTTCTGGGGGTTTTGCCATATATTCAGTGCTCCTTGGCTGATGTTTTCCCAAGCATCCACAAAGTCATGTCTGCCTTTTGGAGCCAGAAGCTGCAAGAAGAGTTCTGGAGTGTCTTGGGCAGAGATCTTTCCAGAGCACTGCAGATCTGAGACTTTTATGTCTCTCTTGTATCTCCTTTTTTATGATTTTTTTAAATTTTTTAATTTTTATTTCTCCACACACAACCCTCCCCCCTTTTTTTCTTTTCTTTCCTTCCCCCTTTTTTAATGGGATGCTTTTGGGGTTTGTCTTCCAGCTTTTCGACAAGGAACTCATGGCATACAGATGACATCTATCAAAAAAAGACGTTCCCCAGATGATGAGCTCTTATACTTGCCAGTGAGTTCTCCCTGTCTTTGCATTTACTTTGTTTAGTATTTTCCTCTGTGACTTGAGGCAAGTCAATGGCTTACCTAGACCTCAAAGAGAACCGAGGATTGGATGTAGATTTTTGTATTACTTTTTTTTAATCCTCTGAGCTATCTATTTCAAATACATGTTCCAAACAAAAAATACAAAAACTTCCAGTAGCTGCTGACTGACAGTGGCTTGTGCAAGGCATATGAGAATATCCCAAGGGATCTGTCTGTCCTGGTGGAAAAATTGCCTTGGAGACCTAACTGGGTTTCGTCCTCTGTCATTTCTGGATTTGTGGCACTTCCTCTAGAGATAATGGGTGCTGTCTTACTGACCAAGGTGGATGCTTCTGTGGCTTTTGTATGTATTGCCATTGTAATGTAGTGACAGAAGTGAAATATGCTGTATTGTGTAGGATCAGAAAGGGCAAGAAGCATCTGTAATTGTCCATTTAGCTGCTTTCCCATGAGCCACATTTAGTTGGGTAAATCACAACCAACCATGGTGTTCCTGCAGGAGAAGGGAGATCCAAACCCAGCACCCAAATTCAAGTACTCATTTTCCTCAATGCATGTAAGATTCAGCAAAAGATCTGCTTACATCTGAGACAGCTAAAGATGTTTTCTGTCTAATGGATTGGATCAGAATATTGCTTTTGGTTGGCATAGATTTATATTGTGCCAGATGACAAACACAAGATGTTCACTAACCTTCAGTGTCAGATTGCCACTCTTCAACATTATCTGCTTTACCTTTAGCACAAGGTTTAGCAACAAGGTTTTGTTGCATATCATTGTGGCAACAAGGTTTTGTTGTATATCATTGTGTATAAACAGGGTATTTTCATCCTGCAATGGCTGTTTACTTGACTGTACCTAAAGCTCACTAAGGTGGCTGTCACTAAGAACTATAGATGCAGTCCTTTAAGGCTTTCTCCCCACCCCCCTTTTCCCATGATCCAGGTGAGGGGACGTGAGACCTATGAAATGCTACTAAAGATCAAAGAGTCCCTGGAACTTATGCAGTACCTTCCCCAGCACACGATTGAGACCTACCGCCAACAGCAGCAGCAGCAGCACCAGCACTTGCTCCAGAAGCAGTGAGTATGAGTGTGCTTGCAGTGAGGGTGGTGGGGAGGAGGGAGAGAGGAGAGAGACACAGAAGGCTTCTGCACACTTGCTGGTAGGGATGTGGTGCTCAACTGAGGGCTGAGCACTTCTACTGCAGTGCAGTATAGTACCACACTGTCAAAATCTTTTCCAACAGCATAGCTGCTTGTTAATTCTGTGGTCAGAGCTGGTAGAATTTGATGCCAGTTTAGCCAAAGCCGAGTTTCTGTACAGAACTTGAGAGACTCAGAGTTTGAGATCCAGATTTCATGACCTGTGCAGTAGGACAAAGCAGACCTCATTTCCCAGGCACATGTCCTGACTGCTTTCAAGGTCCCCCTCTAGTCTCTTGTCCCATGCAGCTCACTTTTTGGCTTTGGAAGGTGAATGGTAGGTTAGTGCCTCGTTCTTGACTTCCAGCCAGAGCCTACCGTGCAGTGCAGCAAGGCAGTGCTACTGAACAACCTGCACACAGAAACCAGCTGCCTGTGCACACCTGAGCTGGGGAGCACAGACGGGGTGTGCTCTTCTCTTGTCTGGTCCACGGGAACAGCAGCAAATGTGTAGCCATACCTATGCCTTCTGCAGGGTGTCCATCTGGGTATCTTGCCAGGAGCACATGGAGCTGGGAGTGTGAGCACCAGCTTGGCCGAGTGCTTGAACCCTGCTGTTGTGTATCTCTGGTGCTGTTGGAAGGCTGGTGTCTCAGTGGGATATAAATGCTGTAGGTTCCTCAGCTATAAAACAGGAAGCTGAAAGTTGGGAGCCAAACACATAATACATTTGTGACCAGTAGGATCTTCAAAGAAAGACTCTATATGTGCAGTTTTATAGTGTTTTTAGAAATTGCACTTTGTCAGTGACTCTCCACATTGCACATGAAAACTTTCCACCCAGGCAGATATAGGCCCTATCTGAACTCAGCTGGTAGAGCTGTGCCAGGATTGCTTTGGATGGTGTAAGTGCCAGGAGGATGGGGAGAAGAAGAAGAGACAAATAAGTGTCTGGTTTCCATTTTCCCCTCTGTTCCCAAAGCTTTGCAGTTGCAGACACTGGGTCAGAGAATGACTTCCCAGACAGACTATAAGTGGTGTCGCTTGTGGGCATTGCTTCACCTGCCATATCAGGTGACAGAAAATAGCCACCCAGGCTGTAGGTAGCCGCCAGCGGTAGTGCTTAGGATCTCACACGTTCCTGCTGGTAAGCTCACGTGTCAGGAGGCTGCGGGTATAACTCATTCTCTGCAGAGGTTAGCAGGGGGCCAAGGCACCACATAAGTCCCACTTGAGCCTGTAGGGATTTATTTTGGTGCCTTGGCCTTGTCTCAGGACTTCTGCAATGCCACGGCTTTCTGCCAGATCTCTGCATGTGTTCACATTTCAACCTGTGTATTTAGTGTCAGCTGGAGTCTTGTGGAGGTGTGAAAAAAGCCTTGTGCCAAAATGGCTGGAGCGTCCAGAGGCTCTGGATAATTTTCAGGGCACTTAAAATTATCATTATTTTTATCAGTCATCTGCACTGTTTGTTTATACAATAGCTTGTATTTACTAGCTCCTAGGCATTGCCGCCTTTGTGCACTGGCTGCGTGTCTTCAAAGCTCCACCTGAGCTACAGCCATCTCAGTTGAGAAATGGTTTTGTAAGCAGAAATGGATGGCAGCAGATGACTGCTTTCCCTTGGTGCTGACAGTTGCTTTGCCATAATTACTGTTTTCATTCTTCCTATATCAATAGGATGGGTTCCTGGCAACTGAGGTTGGTATTTGTATTATCTTTAAGTCCAGCATGTGTAAGTCCACCCATTTAATTTAATGAAACTTCTTTCGGCATGTCTCCTGGCACTTGTCCAGTTATATACTCATTTTTCTCAGCTGCTGAGTATGCTCAGACACTGGGGAGAAAGATTAAGAGCTCTTAAAGATACCAGAAGTGGGGAGGAAAATAACTTTGAGTGTTTGTCCAGAGCTGCTGCAGTTGTAACTGCCGACAGCTTGCCATCAAGCATCAATGCATGTTCAGGCAATAACTACATAGCTGCAGTTGGGTTCTGGTGCTTTTTCCTCTATAATCCATGGTTTGACATAAGTTCTGAAGGAATGTGTTCAGGGCGAAGGGGCATTTAGGCTGAAAAGACTCATAGACACAATTCCACCCCAGAAAAAAACTGTAAATGAGCTTTAGGTCTCAACATGAGAATGGGGAGAGAAGACATTTTGTGGCAACTGGTTTGGGTAAGAGCAACCTTAAATGTGAATAGGTTGCTGGGAGATGTACTACCACTGCTTGCTTGTCAAGCTAGTAAAACTCAGCAGCACAGTGACGCCTTTGCAAGTCTATTCTAGCTTTAAAAGAAAATGCCTTTCGCTTTGTAAGTAGGGATATACTTTCAAAATTCAGTTTGATTTCTTTCATTCAAAGTATGTGTTAAAATTGGGAGCTAGGAAAGTAAATACGCAGTGACCAAGTTTGAATGTGTAGGAACCTGTAGGTACTAGCAGAGCTCTCTGGGGATGGGAAGTTTGCGAGTTGCTGTGTCTCTTTCTTCTCAAAATGGAGCTGCACTACAGTGCTCCACACTCAAGCCTTGATGGAGGAATGTTTCCATTTTGTTCCTACAACATGGAAAGATTTATCTTTTTAAAAACATAGAAAAAGTAAGGATGAAATCATGGTGAAAGTAGGTTTAAAAAGATAAATCTGTCATTTGGAAAGCAACTGTATAATTGCTTTCATGCACATACAGACCAGCATTGCATTTGGCAGGTCAGCAGATGCAATAGTCTTACTGTTCTGGACTAAAAAAGGCAAACCTAGCAATAACCTAAAAGCTCTGTGTCCCACAAAATGACCAAAATACTGTAATGCTCCATGTTGTGCTGGACCTCACATCTTTCTCTGTCTCATCTCCTCTCTCTGTTTGCTCCTTTGTGCATGGTTTTCTTGCATTTACTGTTATGCTGAATACCTTCATGATCATAGGTGGGAAGTTTGTTTTTTTTTTTTTGCTGCAGTTTCTATTCTTCCATTTTCACTCCCAAATCCTGGGGCCCATATTTGAACAACGTCACACACATTTATTTGGACTTTTCATGGTCTGCCTCCATTTGTTTTAAACATCTATTTGCCAGAAGATCCCTGCTGCCAGAGATACCAGAGGTGGCTTGTGCATGAAAGTCGTCTTCGATAGACTGCTGTGAAATATGATTACCATCAATATTCCCAGGGAGTATCTGCACAGCCTTTAAGGGTTTCACTGGAAGATGCTTTTTCATATACAGCAAAATTTCCTTGGTGGGTTTCACACTTCTGAGCACTGTTGACAGTCTTTATTTCAATTCTTTGTCATAGCATAAAATCATAAATAATTTCATGTTGTAAGGTATGCATAAGGATCATCAAGTCCAACTCCCATGATTGAAGGGGTTTTGCAAAGTCTTCAAATGGCTCCCAAGAAGAGGGCTCTTATGTCCAAGTAGGATCTTATGTCCCAGCAAATGTTTCTCTTCTATCAGCAGCTATCAGCCCACTGTCTGCCTTTCAATCTAGTGAGTAGCACAGCTCATTATTCAATGAGAAGGAATTAACCTCCTGAGTGTGAGGTATGACATAGCTGAGTTATTCAGCCTGGAGTGTTCCAGTGAGATGGTTGCTACAAGGATCCTCACATTTGCAGTCACAGGAAGGGGGTCTGGTGGGGAAGGTGTTCTTTATGCCTCCACCTAGTTATTCTCATTCTTGGTGTGGAAGCTAATAGTGGATTTTTTGCACGATTTGGTTTGGTTTTATATTGGTTTTATAGTGCTGTGCTTGCATGCATTGTGAACTGCAGGCGTTTAGATAGTGTTCTCACTAGAGAATTGCAAAGATGAAAGTAAGCAAGAAAAAGTGGGGTATTAGGTTTATGAAGACATGCTGCATTTGCTTTGCTGGCTCTGAGGGAGCAGTGCCTTCTGCATCAGCTGGCAGCCCTACGGACCGCTTGGCTTTAGTGCAGAGGGTCCCTCAGCTTTGAAAAAGAGAGTATTTGAGATGTAATCGATATGGCCCTTTAACAGAAAGCACCATCCTTTCTCCCTAGCACCAGCTTCTGGGTTTTAAGTAATTGAAGTTTGAAGTGGGCTCAGTGGAAGCCACTTCTCTCCTTTTCCCCTTTGGCTGAGTGCTTTTTTTTGCCTTTTGTACTTTTTACTGGGAACTGTATCAAGACACCATTAGCTAGCATGAGACAGGGACACAGAAATCAGATTTCCCTATCAACTAGTTCCTTTTTTTTTTTTTCTTGCCAAGCACTCACTTGTACCTGGGGCTTTCCAGCTTTCTAAATCTCCCTGTCACATATCCTCAATGTGGGTGCTAAGGCATCTGCTTTTCCTTTCCTTCAAAGCTCATACTGTGATCATGAAGGTGGAAACTGTTTCTCTCTTGGTGGCTGGTGAAAGGTCCTGTACATTCATCTTTTTCTTTTCTCTGGTTCCTTCTCTACAGTCTCCTTTCGGCCTGCTTCAGGAGTGAACTCATGGACTCAAGGAGAGACCCTCCCAAACAGATCGATGCCATCCTAAAACATTCCAGCCCCCCAAACCCATCAGTATATCCATAAACTGAGCTGGTGGGGTCACTTTGCCCAGCTGGCAGGACTAGGAACAGTGGGGCAAATACACAACCTGACAGCAACAGAGTAAATAGAGCAATATTCTGAAGGGACTCAAAATTTGCAAAAACAACAGACGTTTGTACAGACCTTTTAGCTGTAGCCCATAAGCATTGGGAGATCAGGAACCACACTGTCGTCTGTCCTGATGTAATGTTTTCTTCCTGTTTTTGTAAAGTGTTGATACTCTTTCTTCTTCTGTATTTGTGAAACTCAGCAGTGTTTCTCTGAGCAGGTCTCAATTTTAAAATGCCTCTTGTCTTGTTTAACTTTTAAAAATGTGTTTATGGGCGGGGGTGTGGGGTAGAAGAGGGGTGCTGTTTAAACAGTCTGTGATAGT